TTTAAATATAAATATATATGTCTTCTATAATCATAAGCTTAGAAAAGAAACAGTAAAGCCATTTCTAAATTTTGTAAGAGGAGTATCAAATCCATATGTGCTAGATAACTTCAGTTGGCAACTTGACATACCCAGGTAGAGGGAACCTCTGTTGAGGAATTTCCTCCATTGGATTGGTCTATGGCCCTGTCCCTGAGGCATTTTCTTGATTATTGACTAATATGGGAGGGCACGGCCCACTGTGGGTGGTGCCATCCCTGGGCAGGTAGGTGGTCCAGGAAGTTATATAAGAAAAGGGGTTGAGAGGCTAAAGAGATGGCTCAGCAGTTAAGAGCACTAACTACTTTGTAGAGGACCAGAGCTTGATTCCCAGCACCCACGTGGCAGTTAACAGCCATCTGTAACTCCAGTTCCAGGGAATCTGACACCTTCTTCTGACCTCTGTGGGCATTGCACTCACACACATGCAGATAACACACTCATACACAGAAAATAAAAAAAAAATTTTTGGTCTTTGAGTATCTGTTTCTTCCTCTAAATTTAGGAGATATTCTGCTCTGATTTCATTAAGTAGATTCTGTGTGTGTGTGGTGTTTATCTCAGCTACTCCTACCCCATGAAGTCTTATGTTGTATCTCAGATGTTGTGGTCATACTCTTTTTTTTTTCTTTATTGATATTTGAATACAATGTTTAGACAGCCTTGTTCTCCATTCTTGATAGTCTATTGATAATACTTTCTACTTTATTTTTTAATTGATGTTTTAATTTCTGATATTTCTATTTGTTTTATTTTGTTCAAACTGTATTTCTTTGCTGATTTTTTTCCATCCATGATGTTGACTTTTTCATCCATATTGCTTTTTAAAAAATTTTTATTATGTTTATGTGTGTATTGCCTACATGTAGGTAAGTGCACCCGTGTCATGCAATGCCCGCGGAGGACAGAGGAGGCCATCAGATCCCCTGGAACTGGAGTTACAGACAGTTGTTAGCTGCCATGTCGGTGCTGGGATTCAAACCCGGGTCTTCTGCAAGAACAACCAGTGTTCTTAACCGCTGAGCCATCTCTCCAGCCCCCATATTGCTTTTTTTTTTTTAACTTTTCCCTCTCTGTTGTTGACTCTCTTGGTTGAATTCATCTGTTTATTTGTATCCTCTTGAGTCATTGATCAATTTTACTAAAAACATCTGAAGTCTTCATCTGGCATTTTTACCTTTTTCAGCATCTTTGAGTTCAGTAATTAAGGAGTTATGGTCTTTTGGAGTAATCATGCTGCCTGACTTCCTCATGTTTCTTGCATTTCTGTGTTATGATTTGCACATCTCTTGCTTTAGATGTCTCTTCTAGGTTTTGAGAATCTTCTTGAGTAGCCTACTCTTGAACATGTAATCCCCAGTACCACTTGGCAAAGAGGAACAAACTGCAACGTCAAACCATACAAGATATAGAAATATACTTAAAGTCAATTTCAACCCACTAATACATTAATAGTAATAGAACTCAAAATCACAAACCTGTAGAATGTGCTAGTAAGTATAAGTGTGGAAGTAGTAAAATGACTAAGCTAAAGGAAGAAGACAAGGAAAGTGGAGGAAAGTATGCTAGATGGACAAAGGAGAAAGAAAGGGGGTGTTGAAGAAGGTCTAAATCAAAATTAGGTAAATGTCAGGGGAATTTTAAAAAGCCTAAGATTATTTATTGAAAAAAAAAAATCCAAGATTGGGGAGATGGCTCACTCAGTAAAACACCTGTTGCACAAGCAGGAGGACCTGAGTATGGATCTCCAACTCTCAGTAAATTCAGTTGCAGTGGTAAGTATCTGTAATGCCAGCATTGGGAGGAGGAGTTAGAGATAGGTGGATCCCTGGAGCTCATTAGCCAATGAGCCTAGCCAAATCAGTGAGCTCAGGTTCCAGGAGAGTCCCTGTCTCAAAAAATAAGGTGGACAGTGACTGAGGAAGGCACCTCATGTCTTCTGGTTTCCATGTGCACTCATACACACACATGAATGCACATCAAATCATGTACGTATTACTCCACACACACACTCACAAATTTAAGTTTAAAATTTTCAAGGAGATGTTATGGAACAACTTCCTCTGAAATGAAACATTCCCTCCAGGAGAGAGGAAGGAGGCTTATGAGACTCTGGAAGTACACAAACCTTACAAGTAAGGAAAGGAAAAACTAACAAGATTCACAAGGGCCCTCCCCCAAGGTTATAGAAGCAATAAACAATTGGTGAGAGTGATAGGCTCTGATCCCCAACTGTTTGTGAGTGATCTATGCAGAGAGCCCCAAGTTGTAGCATCCCTGCATTCTCATCATGCTGGTCTAGGCTTTTTGCTGATGCAGCTGCCTTTCGGTGGTCCCTGCTCCTGTAAGTAACCACTCACCCATAATCCTATAGGAAATCCCAGTAACCTCATTGGTTCACTAAGTTGGGCTTTGGTAGAATTGTTACTTCAGTCTGTTGTCAGTTATCTGAGATGAGGTGAGTAGATGTTTCTTCCTATCTCCCCAGAAAAGTCTCACATAGCACACTTGGCACCCAAATAGGAACCATCAGAGCCAAAGGTGAATTGGGGAGGAATAGAAAAATAATACAGCGCCATGGTTGCATGACCCCTGCAATAGGTATTGAGACATGCAACTGAGGATGCTCCATGTGAGGGTGGAGCATCTATAGGGAAAATCCCAATAGGTAATTGTCCCCATGTGATATGGGATAGTGAGCTCCTTACTGTAATGGCTGCAGGCTTCATGAGATGAGTGATAAAACATGCAACCCAAAGCCATTTGTGCATGGAGCATCTTTGTTAGGAATCCCAGGATGGCCATCTTCCTATACTTGGTATGAGGTGGCATGTCTACCTCATGAGTATGGGGATGCCCTTGAAATAGCTGATGGATTAAAGAATGTGCTTCAGTCCTGAAAGTAGCATGTAGGGGTCAAGATCTTAAGCAGGCTATGGCATCAGTGGGGTGGTATTTGTTGTGGGTGATAAGATAGGCAACTGAAGCTTAGCTGCCTTCCCAGAAAGAACTTGCCTTGAGTATGGGAGGAATTGCAATATGAAAGGACATGCCCTTGCTAGCCACTGTATCAGCCTCTGATTGGAAAGGAAAGTGAAAAAAATAGGATGAGATGGAGGTGTTGACTTGCTGTTTCTTATAGTTGGCAGGTTGCAAGGGGAAAGAGACTGTAAATGAGATGTATGCCCGAGAACCCTTCCTGGGATCTAAAAAGTTGGAAGCAGAAACAGCCTGATTTGCTCTTATCCCAAAGTGCCATTGATCTGATATAACTTTAATTTTGTCATTTCAGTAGTATTACATAGGTGGGGGCGGGAGAGATGGCTCAAAGGTTAAGAGCACTGACTGCTCTTGCAGAGGACCTGGGTTTGGTTCCCAGCACCTACATGGTAGCTCAAAACCTTAACTCCAGTTCCAGGGGATCAGGTACCATCTTCTGGCCTCCATGAGCATTGCATGACACGAGTGTACTTACACAGGCAAAACAGTCATACACATAAAATAAAAATTTAAAAATCACTAAAAAGTGTTACAAGTATAATTGTATATTATGTGCTTTTGATATTGAAGGATTTTTTTTTCCTCACTCAGTCTGAATACCCTTAAATCCATCTAAGTTTGAATGTGTCAGTACATGCACTATTATTTCTGAGTACAGTGTATAAGATATGCCACAGTTTCTAGCTGGTTACGTATTATAGTACATTTTTGTTGTTTTCAGTTTGAGGGTTTTATAGATAAAGCTGTTAAAGCATTCACATATGGGGTTTCATTTTTGTTTTTGTTTTTGTTTTTGGACATAAGTTTCACTTGTCTGAGATTAGTGCTCAGAGAGTACAGTTGCTGAGTTGCATGGTAAATGTATGTTTTACTGTATTGGGAACTGCCAAACTGTCTTCCAGAGTGGCCGTACTATTCTGCATGCCCACTATCAGGATTTTACATTTTAGCTGTTTTGATAGGTGTGTAGTTGTTTATCACTGTGACTTTCATTTGCAGTATCCTAGTTGTTACTAATATTGAGCATCTTTTCTTATTCTTTCACAGCTTCCTGTTGATCATATCCCTCATAATTATCTTCTTTTATCCCCCCTTCCACTCTCAGCAACTCCTTTTTCTTCCCAACAAGTTCTACTTTCATATCTTTTTATGTGCGTGACCCACTGAGTTCACTAGGGTTGCTTGCATGAGCAGCAGTAAGGGTTATTTACTTGAGCAAAGGGAATTTATCAGTGGCCATATCATTGAGGAATATGACTCCCTCTTCCCCAGCAACCACTAACTGCCTATAGCTCTTCAGAGAGGGGTGAGGCTTCATGAACCCTTCCCCCATACATGATGGATTGTCTGTTGGTGTAGTCTTATGCAGGATACCACAGCTGCTGTGAGTTTGTGAGTATAACAGCC